CATTGTGGCCTCAAACACTTAGTAGATGTGTGATCCTAGTCAGGTCACTTAACTTTTATCTGCCTAAATTTTCTCATCTGTAAAATGAGGATAGTAATAGCATTACCTCTTAGGGTTGTTCTAAGGATCAAATGAGATATTTGTAAAGCTCTTAACGCAAGGCTGCTGTCATAGCCACTTTTACTGCCCTTAGCTAGAGGGGACAGAAATAACAAACCAATGATATATATCATTGACCAACTATGGTAACTTTGTTTTTTCATACAGCTGTGCTGGGGGTACAGGTGTAATCTTTGTTTGCCTTTTTAATGAGAATTTTCCTAGGACGCTTATGCATCTGGCATACTGAATAGAAAAGATCTGCAGGACTTGGATTGTGAGAGATCAGGATTTGAATTTGAGTTTCTACACTTAGAAGATATAGCCATGGTGAGATAGGTGTTGTGTGTATGTGAGGGTGTGTAGTCACTACTTCTCATTGTGGGGAAAATGCTGCATACATGGTTTGTTTTTCTAGGGATAGGACACATCCTAGTTTACTTTATGCAACTCAGATATCTACAGAAGTTGGGAATAGCTTCCCTATTTCCTTCCAGTCTATTTTGGAAACAAAATTTGGCCATTGGTTTTAGAGTATCGTATGAGCGCTTGATCTTGGACTTGATTCTCAGGTTACGATGGGGGTTGTATACATACATGAGATTTTTTTGGCTTGTAGACAGATTTAACAATTTCTGCTTGGTGCATTGTACGTGAGCATCAGTTGTAGAATCCTGAACCTTAGCTTTGGAAAAAGATAAGCTGCCACTTCCCTAAATGCCTCCTTTATCAGTAGATGAGGAAATTGAGATTCAAAGAGATGAAGTGACTTAGCCAAGGCTACATAGAATAATCTTCAGAGGTTATGTTCAAACTCAGGTCTTATCCATTGTACAATCAGCACTTAACCTAATTCTGACATTTTTTGGATCAGGAGCAGTTACATGTGAACTTAATACTTTTTTTTTTTTAGAATACTGAGATTAAAAATGTCAAATGTCAATTTTCTTATAAAGCTATGAAATTCTTATGTCCTTGGCTCACTTTGGGCCTTTATGTATTAATTTTAGGTCAGGATGTTGGTGTTTCATTTCATTCAATAGCTAGTTTTTTGAATTCCGCTGCATATGTGCTCTCCAAAGTGGGGGAGGGAGATATAAAGATGAGTAAGGCAGTTCTTGCCCTCCCAGGGCTCACAGTACTAGTGGGACATATAATTTCGTTAACTGATAGTAAATGAGAAAAAACAAGTGCGTGAAGGAACACATTAGGATTGCTTGGGTAATTGAAGATTAACTAGGTAAATTCTATGGGAGCAACCCTGGAATTCCTAGGATAGAAAAAGTATCTTTCAAAACAGTTTCTAGCTTAGCAGATTTCTTCCATTCGTGGTATTCTGAACTGGGTGATCTATCAGGATTCAGTTTTGCTGGTAGATAGTACATTACCTGTCAGCAGAAATGTAGGGGCAGGTTGTTGGGATTTATTTTACCATAAATGAAAGCTAATGTCTCCTGTGTTTTTAATAATCCCCACTAGAATGAGCTCCATAAGAACAGCTAAGACTTAACTAAGTTATTTATAGTAGTTTCTCTTTCCCTTTTTGACAGTATTTGGTGATTTAGGAATGAAAAGTAATTTTATTGGAGCAGTGTAGATCTCTGCAGACCACATCGTCCCTCTTCAAAAACAAATTCCTGGTTGGAGGTGGGGCAAGAGAAAGGGGAATTCTACAGAGGACACCAGGCATATTTGATTATTTTAATGTGGTGTAAAGGTGTAAGATGATTTTTTAAAAATAAATTATGCATCTCCCTGTGCCAGTGGTATCTTTGCAGTGGTTTGTTTGGTGGTGGTGTGGAGAGTATTTGGAGACATACAAATTGAAATTACTGATTTTCCTCCTGTGTGAGACCTTGAAAAAAGTCACTTGACCATTTCCAGCCTTATTTTTCTTTTATGTGAAATGAGAGGATTGTAGTAGATAACTTTAAAGGTCACTTGGAAATCTCATCAAGTAAAAGGTTTAATACATTTCTCCTGAAATTTGCCTTAGATGGCCCATTTTAAAAAAAAAAGCTGGTTTCTGTGGAGACAGTGGATCTGGAGTCAGATCTGTTCAAATTCTAACCAGTTTATTAGTACCACTGTGATCTTGGACAGTTTCCTCAACTGTAAATATGAGGGAGCTGGACTAGATTTCTCCGGTCCTTTTCATTTTTAAATCCAGCGTCTCATCCTAACCTTAAGTCTTTGGAGGTACATAGTTGGTACAGACCAGGATTTTTCTGAGAGGCGTTGAGGAAAAGTAGAGGGAAAGTGGCACAAGTCTTGCATTTACTGGAAAACCCCCAGGGTCTCACCACAAAGATATCAGTTCCTTCCTTGACAGCTGTGTTGACAGTAAAAATTGCTAACGGTTTTTCCTGCATTTGGGATATTTAATAATTAACAAATTTTTTTGATTAATTTTTATCTTTCAACAATCACTTCCAATAAGCTTAAATGTTTTCAGCTAGTCATCTTTGGTTAAAGTTGGTTGATATTTATCCTATTTTCACTTTATGGTTTTTCTTTGATGAAAGCTTTTTAAAAGAACTTTTTTGAGGTGAGGCAGTTGGGATTAAGTGACTTGCCCAGGGTCACACAGCTAGTAAGTGTCAAGTGTCTGAGGCTGAATTTGAAATCAGGTCCTCCTGACTCCAAGGCTGGAGCTCCATCTACTGCGCCACCTAGCTGCTCCTTTAAATTTTTCTTTAAAAGATTTCCTTTGCTTCCTTTGAGATAAAATTTCACTGTAAAGGTTTATGAATTTGTTAATTAGGACTCTGGTAAAAAGTAAGGTTCTGGGTTTTGCTGTTGGTATAGTAGTAGATAACAGACCTCAGATAATTAAATTAATTCTATATAAGTAAAATGACAGTAAAATTGGATGGGGAAAGATATTGAAGGGAGATGTGAAGTTGCCACATGGACTCTGCTTATGCTATGTTCCATTCTTCTGTTGGCTGAGAAAAGTAAGCACGCTGGGCAGTTTTTGACTTCTAAATTGTTGACCTTGCTTTTGGTTTGCCAGGGGTGTTAAGATGAGTAGATGGGTACCTTTGTTATCAGTGCACAATGGGAGCTGGTTTTTGTAGATTTATTACCTCATCTGCTTTGTTTCATAAAGTCATGGACAACTTAAAAAAATTAACTTTTGAAGCTCTCAAGGGAATTTAAGTTAATTTGTCTTAACTACATTTAACTACTCCCATGTACTTGTCTTTACTCTCCCTTTTGTTTATTCCATTTGATCTTCTGTCACACAGAAGACATCCTTGTAATTTGTAATTGCTAAGTGATAATGTTCCATGTGTCCACCAAGATAAGGCTAGTAATTGGAATGGATTTTTGAAAAATTTTGAAATTACTTACCAGTTCAGTTATTTGGTAGGCTTAAATGATCTTGCTTTTCTAAACAGCAGTAACTTTAAAATAGTTGAGTTATGGAAAAAGAAGTAACTTGGAGCACAAGTGTGTGTCTTGTTCTATAACAATTAAGAAAGTTTTGCAGGAGATGTGTTTATAACTTAAATTTTAATTTATTACCTTTTAGTTTAATTCTTTTCCCCTCCAGTAAAGTCTTTGAGTAGCCTTCAAAGTAAACAAGTGCTTTATTTAGTTCCAGTGTGATTTATAAAATGATAATCATTACAGTATTTTCTCAATTGAGGGAGAGGATGGAGGATTTCTTTGCTTCTGCTGAATTTCTCTACTGATCTTCTGTTAGTAGGTGCTTTCTGCTCAGTATCATTGCCTCAGCCTCACAGCTTGCTTGATTAAAATTGAATGCGGGGGGGGGGAGTTTTTATCTTTTGTACACATTTGGAGGTTGGCACTCTGCAGGGACTGGTGGCAAGGAAATCAAAGTTAGTTTCTCTGTAGAAAATTATGAGCTTGTTTTTTTTCTTTTTCTTTTTTTGACCTAGTTTGTATCCTAGAAGCTGGAATGACTGAATAAATAGCACTTGTATTTTGAAGTGATACAGTTACCCCACTTGTCACTGGATAGTACTTGATAAAAGAGATAGTGTTTCGAGTAATCTCTGAAAGTGTGACAAAGCAGAGGGTATGGTTTCATTGGAGCTGCTGGAAAATAGGGCATCTTCCTGTTGGCTGCATTGCGGGCTATGGAAATGGAGGTAGCCAGCTTCCTATTCACAAGGAGTTCTTTGTCACCCACTGGATCACTATAGTCTAGGTTTTTATGTGATAATTCAAGACAGCTAAAATCTTTGAATTTTCAGCAGAGCATTGTTTATAAGTGGACAAGTGCTTTTTGCACTGTGGTTTGGAGCCTTATTGTAGCTTTTATATACTTACTAAAGGACAGAATTTTAGAGAAATTCCAGTGGTACAAGTTAGGATTATTTGGAACTTATGTTGTGGACCCCAAGTATAGCTGACTTCAAAAACAGGAAGAACCTGGGTACTTGAGAAGTGAATTTTAGTGCCCATCTGCTTTCTTCCCAGGCCACCCCCTTGGTCACATTCAGGAAGATCTGTTGACTTCACAGTAATTGCTGGCTAATCACATCGTCTTGCAAATCATAGAGATCTCAAATGTTGCCCACTTCATTGTCCTGATTACTTTAACCTCCAAAGAAATAGTCTCTTATTGGACTTTAGGGAAAATATTTTTTAAATAATTGTCTTTTGGGATTGTCAGTCTTTCTGGCTAATCTTTTCCTCTCCGGGAACCTGCATCCTGTTAATCCTTGTGGCTGGTTGACATTTTAGTAACATGTTGAATACAGGTTTTGGAATCCATTGAAGTCTGTTTGCAAGGTTTACGCTAGTAGCACTACAATTAAGTTCTGTCACTATCTCTTGGTTCTGATTTCAGAATTGTTCTGTTCTCAAAGTACTTTAAATATAATTTAGTAAATACAACTCACCCTTTTCCTTTTTTCTTCCAGCGGGGATCTGACGAGCTTTTCTCTACTTGTGTTACTAACGGACCCTTTATCATGAGCAGCAACTCTGCTTCTGCAGGTAAAATTGGTAGCCGAAGTATTAGGAAACCTGTTATTAGGCTTCCACAGATACTAAAATGTGGAGAAGATTTCAATAGCCTGTTTGTTCTTCTCCTTCATCATTTTTAATTGGTTTGCTGGGAATCTTTCTAGAAAATTAGAATCACCTTCATAAGGCTGCTTTCATTTGTTAGCTCAGACTCTTACCTTGGGAACTGAATTTGGAGCATGCAAATTATCAGTTTGCCAAGAGCCCACAGTTGATCGAAGGAACTTGGGAAAGCTAAAGGAATTATTCTATAGAAGCATAATCGTGAACATGGGGATTAATGAATATTTTGTTCTTGATAACTTTTTTCTTTCTTGAAATTTATGGTTTGGACTTCACTAAAGCAGATGGTGTAATAGTGTATATAGAGTCAGTTTCAGCTAGTCCTATGTGGTCTGAGCTGATTTAGGAATTGTGCGTTGAATTATACTGCTAGTTTTGTGTAGTTTGACCTCTGAACCTTGAAGCATGAAGCTTAAGGAAAGGCTGTGATTTTTATGGGACACTGAATCTTTCTTTTTGATGTTTTCCTGATTCTTGTTCTTTGGGACTTTTTAAAGGAAAGTTATCATATTAAAATTTTTCTTTCCCTTATATGTGAGTGAAGAGTAGTTTATTTTATATATCCTAGCATCTTTGGGTTTTTTCTAAATAGGTACCTAAAACAGTTTGGAATTTGGTTTGACTCTTGGAATCAGAATTTTTCAGTTTACAGAAAACACAATAAAGGAAGGAGAAGGAAACTAGTATGTTGCATTGATTCTTATTGAATCTGGACACTGGAAGTTTTTCATCTAAATGGGGTGCTTTTTGGGATAACCTGCAGGGCAGGTTGGGGGGTGGGGGTGGTTAGAATTAGTCCATTGAATTTTATTTGAAAATGGATCACCTGCTTCAGGATTTATTCCAGTCACTATTGAAAAGGGCTTTTTGGGGAAATTATTTATATGAGTGCTTCAGGTATGAAGAGGTTGAGTAGTATTCTGAAGGGTATGTGAGGAGAATTCTGTTTTATATTCTATCATATTCTATAATCTGTTAATATTAAAGTTAACATTGTGTTGAAAGCCTGTGGGATTTGAGGCCTAGTCTGCAATGGGCTGATAACAGGAAAAACAGCTTTTTACAAAACTTCATGTGAACTGAGAGTTGGTCTTAATTGTAGTGCAGTTCACGTAATATTCAGGGCTATAAAAACATTTCTTTTCAGCTAATGGAAATGACAGCAAGAAATTCAAAGGTGATAACAGAAGCACAGGAGTCCCTTCCCGAGTAATCCATGTGAGAAAACTCCCAGGTGACGTCACAGAAGCTGAGGTTATTTCCCTGGGATTACCATTTGGCAAGGTCACCAATCTTCTAATGCTGAAAGGCAAAAACCAGGTATTGATATTTCTCTTAAGTATATTTGGAATATAATTATACTCATTAACTTTAGACTTAAGGCTTAGAAAATTGAAGTCAATTTAAAATTTATGCAAAAACTGTGTATCTGGCTTGCAGTGAACTCATTAAATACTTATGGTAGTGTGTAGTGGGCCTAATGGTACTTCAGATGCTACCTTTCTCTGGATTAAGGGCATGTGTGAGGGCAGGTGGTATTCTTTTCCTCAAATAAGCCTTTTCAGTTTTTCTTTAGTCTTGGAGCAACTATTCTTGAGGTCTTCTGTTCCTGGCTCTGCTCTTGACTTTCAAATCTTTACCCTCCTGTAAATTATTTTTCTGGGCTTCAGTTTCTTTATCTTAAATATCGTGGTGATAACTACCTACCTCATATTTAAAGTAAGGTTTAAATGACATAATGAACATGGTGAAAAATGTTAATTTTTAAAAAACAGATCAAAACTGTTAAACTTACTTTCTCTTCCAATTTTGACCTTTTGTGTGTGTTTCATTGTTGAGAAAGGCATAGAATCTTAAGAGATATTAAACTTTTTTCCCCCTCCATTTTATGGATGAAGAAACAGATCTAGATAAGGAAGTATAACAAAACAAGGCCAAGTAGCAAGTAGTAGATTCTAACTTAAGTCCTCTGACTCCAAATCAAGTATTCTTTACCTTAAAATCTTCCCTACTTAGATGTTTGCTAGCACATAAGTTTTTCTTTCTAAGGGTCAGCTCTGCTTGTTTGTTTGTTTGTTTTTTAAAGGCAGTTGGGGTTAAGTGACTTGCCCAGGGTCACAGTAAGTATTAATTAAGTGTTTGGTCTGAGGCCAGATTTGAACTCAGGTTCTCTTCACTTCAGGGCCAGTGCTCTATCTACTGCCCCTCCTAGCTGCCCCCTCTGCTTGGTGTTAGTAATAGTGGAGTTGGGATAGTAATCTCAGATGTGAGAAGTCTATTTAATCCCAGGGAATTTTTGCTTTCCAGCCTTTTTGATATGAAGGGGCATGTTTTACTGAGTCCTGAGTAGATTTTGATAATGAACCTTAGATTAGTCCTTCTGCTAGGCAGCATTTCAAACTGAATCACTCACTTCCATTCTGTATGTGTTTTTTTTTTTAAACTTCCATTCTCTTTGCTTTAAAGTTTAGCAAATAGGGAAGTTTTCATAAATCCTGCCATCATGCTCCATCCTGGTGTGGAAATAATCTTGGCTACGCTAAGGAAGATAAGCTACTTGTGGTCCTCTAGACTGGAATAGACTTTTTTCAGTGTAGGCCCTTCTGCCTTTCCTTATTTGGACCACCAGGTTACCTGTGTGGTGCAATCATGAGTATATTAGTGGAACGAGTGCCCATGGGTCTTATGAAGATTTGCTGAGTAGCCAGTAAAAACAAATGTCATAGATAGTAGGAATTTTTATGATTTTGGTTTTTCCCCCAGTGTTAATAATTATGCTCTCTTGGCTTTGATCTGATAATTGAGTTCTTACTCATAGTCCTGCTGTTAAAATACTTTTTACACCTTGAGCAAATCTGCTTATTCCTGGGCCCCAGGAGTTGATAAAGGTCATCTGTAAGAGAACATTTCCCCCTCCTTCCTCCCTTTTCCAGTGTGCTTGATCGATTAGGTTACGATGCATAACCCTGACTCATCAAGAATAATTCCCTGATGCTGCCTTGGGCATTACCAACTCACCAAAGGATCCTTAACTTTTAGGCTTTCCTTGAAATGAATACAGAAGAGGCATCGAACACTATGGTAAGTTACTATACCACAGTGACTCCTGTCCTTCGAAGCCAGCCTATCTACATTCAGTTCTCAAACCACAAGGAGCTCAAAACAGACAACTCCCCAAACCAAGCAGTGAGTATTAATTCTCATTACTGTTGAGTCTCAATCAGTTGTCCCTCACCCCACCCACTATAAGTCCGAGTTTCTTACTAGGTATTTGGGAGCATATGTTTCCCACACACAAGAGAAAGGATCAGTGTTCCCTCCCAAAAATACAAGACACAAAGCCAATCAAGGTAGTTATGTAACCTTACCAGTGTAAGGTTTCAGAGAGAGCTTTTGAGCTCTGGCTTCTTAAAATGAATTTAGATGATGAAAGCAAGTATGAATGATCAAAGGTAGTCGCATCAACTCATAAGAACCAGGAGTAGGGCAATGGAAAGAGCAGAGATAGGAAGAGCTCTGAGAAAGGGATCTTTGCACTAAGCAAAGAAGGCTGGATAGGACAAGATCATGAAAGACCTTGAAAGCCATGCAGAAGCCTTTGGAGAAGTTCTTGTGGTTGTGATTTGCTTTGGAAATTTCTGTTAGAAATGCTTTGTTAGATTGTCTAACAGTATAGAGGCCTTGATATAGGTTAAGTGGTGGTGAGATAGCAGGAGAAAGAGCAAATTGAGACAGTTGGGATAAGGACGGTTTTGGTGTTGCTGAGTTTGAAGTGTTGAAGTCTTACCCAAGGAGATGTTGACTCTAAGGAATGGTTAGCAATAAGATTGGAGGCAGCAAAAGATCTAGACTTATCTCAGTGAAGAACATAAATTTTTAAGCAAAAAGAGGATGGATGCTTGTTTTTCTCAGGTTCCGATATAGTATCTGGCTTGCCAGTTAAAATACCAAGATGATTGGTATTGATTGGGGGGGGGTGCAGGTGGGGAGATGGGTATTTTATTGGAAATAGGATTCTGAAAGCTCAGGGAAAAGCTACATTTGATTTAATAGTCTCACTGTAATTGTATCATGTCATATTTGACTATCAGGTATTTAATGTTTGCTTGGAATATTTTTTGGTGGCTCTGTCTACTGTGCTGCTTAGCTTGCCCCTTGCTTTGAATTTTTGAATTGACTTTTATGTGTACTTTAGAACTTCGTACTAGTGAATAAAGTTGTATTGGAAATTCTGCATTTTTTCCCCCTCTTCTATCTCCCTATGCCTTTGATGACAGGAACACTGAAGAGACACAGTGTGGAGCCTCTGTATAATAACAATGACTATCCTGTGGGTCTACCTTGTTAAGGTTGTCCTATAGCCTTGGATGAACCCAAGGAAAATACTGAAAGTGATAATGGGAAAGTTTTGGTGTACTATATATCTATATCTGTCTATCTGTATGTTCTCTCTCTCTCTCTCTCCCTCTCCCCCCCCTCGTGCTTTGCTACTATAGGCTTGAAATTACAGCATTAGGAAGTGTTGCCATTTGTCCCTGAAGACTGCCTGTCAAATGAGAAGTAGGAGCTCTGTTGTTCAGCTTGTGGTAGTAGGTTGTAGTAGCAGTATGCAAATGAAGAATTGGCTACTCATGATGAAATAGTGTGAATACCCTGTAGGTTTTGGACATAGTACAAGGAAAGTACTAACCAGATGGGAATGTCTTCCACAGCGTGCCCAGGCAGCACTTCAAGCTGTAAACTCTGTTCAGTCAGGAAATTTGGCCCTCTCTGCCTCTGCTGCAGCAGCTGATGCAGGAATGGCAGTGGCTGGCCAGAGTCCAGTTTTGAGGATCATCGTAGAAAATCTCTTCTATCCAGTCACTTTGGATGTACTTCACCAGGTGAGATTGAACTGTGGGTAACAGCACATTGGAGATAACTAAAGACTGTAGGTTTTGTTTGTGCTCTACTTAGAATTCTAGGGTTGCCCTTGGGGCACTGTTTCAGGTATGTTACCTATTTAAGGTTCTTAGCATAAGGACTAGTGTCTACTCTGTCTTAATAATTCTTTGTAAAGTGAAAATTTTTCTTGGTGTTTTTTTTTTGTTTGTTTTTTTACATCACGGACCCATTTGGCAGTATGGTGCGGCCTGTGGAGCCCTTCTAAGAAAGTTTGTAAATGACCAAAATATAATATGATTACAAAGGAAACTAATAATATTATATTAGTTATCAAACATTTTAAAAGATTCTCACCTCAAAGTTAGGGCCCCTGTAGATGATATAAAAACTTAAAGGAACTGTATGTGTAGTGTAGTGAAAATTTGATTGTAGATTTTTGCACAGGGCTTTTATTGGTATTCCAGAACATTCATTCTGCTATTTAAGCCAATTTCCTTCCTTTAAAGAATTTAAGATTAGGTTAGGATCTTCAAGTTTGAATGCAAAATCATAATTGATCATATTCTGATAGCAGATGCTGAGTCAACCTTTGGACTGTTGGGTAACTTGCCGTGGTTCACTTTCTTTACAGATTTTCTCCAAGTTTGGCACAGTACTGAAAATAATAACCTTCACCAAGAACAACCAGTTCCAGGCTCTGTTACAATATTCTGACCCCGTGAGTGCCCAGCATGCTAAGTTGGTGAGTGTACCCACTGTTACTTCATAATGCCTTCTTCCCTCTTCCTTTGAAATGGTTTGACCTTATGACAGGACCAGGTCTGCTTATTTCCCTCTCTGGCTTCTTTCTCTAGTCTCTTGATGGGCAGAATATCTACAATGCCTGTTGTACATTGCGCATTGACTTCTCTAAACTCACCAGCCTCAATGTGAAATACAACAATGATAAAAGCAGAGACTACACCCGCCCAGATCTGCCCTCTGGTGACAGCCAGCCCTCTCTCGACCAGACTATGGCAGCAGCCTTTGGTAAGGACTCTCTCCCATCTTAGCAGCTTCTTTGTTTAGCCTGGTGGCAACATTTTGATCGGAAATGCCAACCTGCTGATACTGTTTTTATGTGCTATAAGTATTAGTAAGAAACAACTTGCTCATATCTGTCACTGGCTAAAAAGTTCCCTGCTGCACAGCTGAAAGGAATGTTTAATACCTACAACAATAAGCCCTGTGAAGCATTGAAAGCAGTAAAGCAGAAAAACACCACGCTTCCACTGTCACATTTCAGTTTGGGCACCAAAATTAGGGTTTTCTGAAGATGAACACCTAAAGAGACCTTGAGCCCAGGGAAGGACTGCTTCTATGCTCTATGACATCCTGACTTTTTGACATTGACCTAGGAATTCAATAGGAATTAGTGGGGGAAAGAATGTGTAACTTTTTACACAAAGCAAAGAATAAACAAGGGCCTAGATAGATGTCTGTATGTCCTGTAAATTTGACCAGTGGTTTTAAATGCCTTCTCTCATTTGAGGATACAATAATAGCTCCCTTCTAATTAGCTGTGTCTAGTGTTCTCTAGTACCATTAAGGATCCTAGAGAAATTTTATTTTGACTCACTGGTTATTTAAACATAATACACTGGGGGGAAAGCGTATGGAGAACGTAAAAAGGTGCTTTTAAATTTTGAGCCTCTCCCTTTAAAGCAAAGCATGGTGTATATTCATACAATCTCTTGTTGTTTGGGATTCATTCTGACATTTTCTCCTGGAGGTTTGTGGGTGCGATGATTAGTATTTCGTTTATTTCTAGGTGCACCTGGTATAATCTCTGCCTCTCCATACGCAGGAGCTGGTTTCCCTCCCACCTTTGCAATTCCTCAAGCTGCAGGTATTCATGAATTTTGTGATCCTCACCCGTAGTTTGATTATGCATGCCCATTTCACTGTAAAAAGCAAAATAAACACAAAAGAGGCCCCCCCATCCCCCAACACACACACACACACACACACACACACACACACACACACCCCACCACAACACTTAAAAAACCAACAAAACCATGCCCATAACAGTTTTTAAAAAGCCAATTTAGAACTATTCCTAATTAAACAGTCCTGAGTGCACAGGGAAAGCCAACTTCCTGGGAAGCCTTGCTTAGCAGCACCAGGGTAATAATTGTGAAGTAGTAGGAAAATATTTGGAGGTTAACTTTTATGTTTTTAATGATGACAGTGAGTGAGTAGGAGAGAGCTGTGAAGATGCTAATGCTTGTAGTCTCATGTTGGCGAGAGCCCCCTCAGCTCATCGCTGGTTAACTTGATAGTTTCTGTGGTTCTGGTTCCCTTTCAAGCTTCCAGGGGAGATGGCCTGAACTGAGTGGTTGAAGTTTATTCATAGTAAATTGAATAAATGGCCTGGTAAGCAAACAGCATACATGAGATTAAGAAGCATGATGACAGTGGGCACACCTAAAAACATTTCATTCAAGTAGTCTGTTTCCGTGTGGCAATTCCTTATGCTTTCTCCCATTCATCTTTGGAAATCATTCTGGTGCCCTTCGGGTGGTTTATACATGCTGTTGCCCATAAGAGTTGGAAGATTGTTTTACTTACATGACAGTGGACCAAGACTAATTGACTCATTTGGCCCCCAGAGGGCCAGCTGCATAATCTGTGTTAATGTATTTGATTATATGCATGGAAGAATGGCGTTCTCAGCATGCAGTTGGTCAGTGTGGTTTACAGACACGCTGCTTGTAATTTTTTTTTCCTTCTGTTTTGCACTCATGGACCCAAAGCTTTGTGCTATGTTTGATCGCATGTAGAAATTAAGAATTCTGAAGTTAGTAAGGTTGTGTCTAAAATTAAATAGTAAGCATCATTGAAAGTGTTTTAAAATAATGGAAATTACTTAACAGCCTCAGTATAAGTTTTTTATAGGAAAACGGGCTTTTAACCATTATCATTTGCATGGCACTGGGAAGACTTAAATTTCTTCCCTCAGCTGCAGCCAGGGAACAATAGGCTGTGTACTGGTTTTATATTGGTTTCTTCTCTTTAATTTCCAGGACTCTCTGTTCCAAATGTTCATGGAGCCCTTGCTCCGCTGGCGATTCCATCAGCAGCTGCTGCTGCGGCTGCAGCCGGGCGAATTGCCATTCCTGGCCTCACAGGGGCAGGGAATTCTGTCTTGCTGGTTAGCAACTTGAACCCAGAGGTTAGTGGAGCTTTGTTATATCCCTTTTTTTTCCTGTTAACTCTTAGCTTTCACTTTCTGGAAACTTTCAGAGAATGTTTCACCTTATCTTAAATCTCATTCCCTTTAAGGAAGCAGCCAAACTAGAAAAGCCAGTAGGGTTGGTCTGCTTGTCTAAGCAGTAATTTCCTTAGAAATGGAGTATATCACAAACCCTGGATCATTCATTTTCATGATTCCAAGGAAGGGAATCCTGAGCCTTATTCTCTTTAATTTTCCAACTGGTGATGGTTGGGTCCTCTCAGTTAAACCTCTTTTTCATTACAATACTGTTTTTTAAAAAGTAACATTGGGGCAGCTAGGTGGCACAGTGGATAGAGTGCTGGCCCTGAAGTCAGGAGGACCTGAGTTCAAATCTGGCCTCAGACCAAACACTTGACACTTACTAGCTGTGTGACCCTGGGCAAGTCACTTAACCCCAATTGCCTAAAAGAAAAAAAAATGAACATTAAATTAAATATGAAGAGAGACTGTTCTGCCCTCTACTCTCTGTAAATGTCTTTAAACCTTGCCAGCTTGGCTTTTGTGTACTCCTGCCATGTTTTTCCCCCTCTGGCCATTTGCTCACATTTATTTTCCTTTCCGAAGATTGCTTGAAGTTTTCTTATTCTCCCCTAACACCTTGAAATTTACATTTTCAATTCTATAATTTTACTAAGAGTTGAAATATTTTTTGTTTTTCAATGAAGGCAATCTTTAAAAAGCAGAACTGAGATGAAATCCGAAGGATGCAGTCTAACCAGACTTTGTTATTTGGTGGCGTTCTGCCCAAATAAAACCTTTTGGATTGGAAGTATTAAATTTCCATTAGCACTAGGGGAAGAGACCTGGAATTGTGCTACTTAAAAGATAGACTGCATGTGAAGGCAAATGTATTAATTTTATGTCAGATTAATATATTGCCTCAAAGAGTTTGGATGAGAGAGTAATGCTCAAAATATTTAACTCTTGATGGGATTAACATTTAATCAATATTTCAGACTGAACATTCTTTTCATCTGTCTGACACTCTTATACTGTTTTCCATAAGGCATGAGATAGGGCAGTTTCTCTTTCTGAAGGGACAGAAGACTCCCCTCTAGACTTCCTCCTTCCCCCTTTCCCAGTTGATCCTTTCCAGCTGGGATTGTGATCATCATGGCTTTATGCACACTCTAGGTATGGAGTAGAAACAATTTTAGAATAATTAGGAGGGCCAGGATTCCTTATTAATAAATGATTGAAATTCATTGTTCCTGGTCAGTTGTTTGTTTCAGTGCTAGATTGGGTTAAATATCTGAGTCCAATCTGCTATCTGCTAATAGAAGATTCAAGCAACTACTTTTTAGTGAAAAGGGACCATTGACTATGTCATGCCTTTTTACATTTTTGATGAGTTCTTTACTGTCCATCCAGCTTATCTTTGAGCTAGAAAGACTGATACTTGGTAGTGAAGCTATAAACTAACAGACTTGAACCTTGTCATTCATTGCTCGTGTAATCAATGTTTTTAGAAACTTATCTTTGTAACCAGTTAGTAAGAGACAATGTTTTTGTGGAGTGAGTTTAATGAAGTAGGTGAAACTTAATGGGAACCTAAACTGAAAAAATTAAGTTAAAATGAAGTATCAGAAAGGGGACTAGTTACTCCTTTCTCTCCTATGCACGCCTTTTCCCTATAACTCAAACTTGGCCTATTAATGGGATCGTCTTAGAACTGAAATTGCTTATCTAGTGACCTGATAAAAATATTGTGCTCTGGGGGAGCTAAAGGAAGAGCAAGCTATAGTGCTTACTTGTTATTTGACTCCAGTTTTTCTCAGCTTGCATTGTGCAGTTGGTACATGCAAAATCTTACATAGCACTGCTGTTATGAAACAGTGCATTCTTTCAAAATCAAATCTGAAGAAGTCAGATTTATAGCAGAAATTGTGCTTTAGGCCGCTTTTATGAAAAGCAATTTGGCATGTTGGAAGTCACTCTGCACCAATATTGTTTCTTTTCCTCTGTGTATATCAAGTAAAGATACTTTTCTTTATCATTGTGTTCCACTAGGAAAAACCTAATAACTTTCTGTAAACAAGTATTGTATAGAGTATTCTATATCTTACTGATGGAACACTACATATTTCTTTATGTATTTACTGACCTGTGTTTTTTGCTACTTTTTTTCTTTTCTCCCCTTCCCCTTTTCCCAATTTTTTTTTCCTACCCTTGATCCGGAATTTCTTTGCCAACTGACTGCACGGTACTTCTGCTTCCTGTTGTTGCTTGAAACAAACAAAACAAAACAAAACAAAACACACAATAAAAATTCCCCTTCCAAAAAACCCTGCTCTTCGGAAACCAACCTGCCCTTCAATATTAACCATCTTGAAAACTTCATCATCCATCAACCAATTTCGCCATTTCCTGCGGGGACTGCCCTTCCTCGTGGTGGACGATTTGTGCAACCTCCGCTCTCCCCTTCGATTCCTTACCTTCTCCCCTGTCCCTCCGCTGCCTTGCTCTGCTGTTCTCTAAAGAGAGTTACACCCCAATGCCTCTTTATTCTTTTCGGTATGTTATTATTCACACTTTTTATTACTTTGTTTTCATTTATTTGAGATTACTTTTGATGCCTCAAATGTCCAGTTGTTTGCAGTTTGCCATTTTGAATGCATAATTTCATTTGTATTATCATAGTTTGCCTTTTATGTTTATTTTACTGTGATCCCTTAGATGTGCATGGTTTACTCCTTTGCATGTCTCTAAGAGAAATATATTGGTAGCATGCTAGATTGACGGTTCTTTGGTAGTTAGGCTTAACATTATAATTTACTATAATCCAGTATTCCACAATTCTGCTACATACAGGTTTCTACAACTAGCAGAATACATAGTAAAGTTTATTGAAATAAGACTCATCATATCGTGAATGGGATTTTCTTTTGGGGTTATTTTCCTTTTTGGGCTATTTCATAGAAATTATAATTATTAGTTTTTCCTAGCCTGTTAATTACCTAAGGTTTGTCTTGTTTCCCGAATTTTTGAAGGCGTTTATGGTGATGTCCAGCGAGTGAAGATCTTATTCAATAAGAAAGAGAATGCCTTGGTTCAGATGGCAGATGGAAACCAAGCCCAGCTTGGTAAGGCTTCTTCATTCATTATCCTCATAATCTGGAAACCCTCAGGAATGGACTCTACTTTTTAGGTGGAAGGATGGGAGAGGGTTGCTTTATCCAAGGTGGCATAGTGTAGACCTGGTCTTCTGTTTTATGTGATCTTATTGAAGGGCTTTCTGAAAATTTAAATCACGACTTTAGAAATTCAAGGTGCTAGTTAGTGTAATGATTAAATTTCTTTGAATTTTCTTTTTTGAATCTTTTCTTTGAATTTTCATGTCAACGTTGATTGTAAAGTAGGATGTTTTGAAATAACCTTATTTTTATTGGACAATGATCACAATTAGTACAGTAAAGTTAGAGCAAGACTCTTCTGTTATAGGCGAAGCTTAGTGAGTTTTTTCACAAGGTACTAAATAACATTTCCATAATGGAAACAAAGTGAGGTGCCCAAACAACCTATTCTCATCTCACCTTTTTTCCAGCTATGAGCCATCTAAATGGGCAGAAACTTCACGGGAAGCCAATCCGAATCACTCTTTCCAAGCACCAGACAGTTCAGCTTCCCCGTGAAGGACAAGAGGACCAAGGCTTGACTAAAGACTATGGAAACTCACCCCTCCACCGTTTCAAGAAACCAGGCTCCAAAAACTTTCAAAATATCTTCCCTCCATCTGCTACCCTGCACCTTTCTAATATACCGTAAGCATACACCAACATTTTTTGGAATGTCTTGAGTGTCTGTTCCAATGCCTTGTGTTGGGAATGTGGTTACAGAAGTTTCTCAAAACAGCATTTATGTGCACTTGAGTTATTCCTTTGCATGTCTGTAAGAGAAATATATTGTTAGCATGCTAGATTGACAGTTTTCTGATAGTTAGGCTTACATTTTAATTTACTATAATCCAATATTCCACAATTCTGTTACATAGAGGTTTCTACAACTAGCACAATACATGGTAAAATTCATTGAAATAGGACTTGTCATATTGTGAATGGGATTTTCTTTTGGTTATTTTCCTTTTTGGGCTAATTCATAAAAGTTGAACGTGAAAAGGTGACTATAGTTTATTTAGGAATAGCTTTTCTAGGAGGGAAGGATCTGTAATACAAGAATAGGATAGGAGGTGGTTCAGTTTGGAAAACTATGAACTTGGGGGCGTCATGATGAAGATGGTTGATAATACACATTTAGAAATACCAGAAATTTAATTTGTTCATCAACAAGTTGTTTTAAAGGTATTGAAGGCAGAAAAGCAGCATGGTATGATATTTGATTTTATATGTGGTGGAATTAACATTCTGTTTACAAAACAACCATTATACTACTACCAGGTGATAAGAGTAGTCTCAGTAGAAGTTAAGGAAATGCCTTTTGCAGAACTTGGGTAGTTTTGTTGGAAGCATGTTTCTAATTAATGGTTTTCTCATGAAGTCTTGTGTTGTGGGGGATATTTTCACCTTCCATCAGGGGAAGGGACTTGAGAATGTAGGCTTTGTGTGTGACCAGATGAATAAAGCACAATATTAATTTACTAGTGTCCCAGCCACCCCAAGCAAAGGTTTTTGTTCCCTCTTTGGTCCTTTATTTCCTTTAGTAGAGTCAAAGAAAAGCAGCATGGCTCAATGGATAGTGAGCAGCCAAAAGGCCTTATCCAGTCTCCTGCTTCCTGGCTGCATAACCTTGGACAAGTCAGTCAATGTTAAGAATTGGAGTCAGCTGTTCAAGATTGTTTGGGCTCAGGTCCTGGGCAAAATAACACATGACCTGTTGCTACAAGGGGCATTTATAGGAGTATAGAAATTGAATTTAACGTAAGGAAGAACTTGCTTGACACAGACCAGGATAGCCAAAGTATAATTTATTTTGGGAGGAGTTAAATGAGAAACTGGCCATCTGTCAAAGATGGGAGATTAATTCTCTAGTTCCGTCTTCAGTATTTGTCATTTACCTTCCAAGATAGAGGGTGGGGGCAGCTAGGTAGTACAGTGGATAGAGCACTGGCTCTGAAGTCAGGAGAACCTGAGTTCAAATTTGGCCTCAGACCAAACACTTGACACTTACTTAGCTGTGTGACCCTGGGCAAGTCACTTAACCCCAATTGTGGCGCGCGCGCCCCCCCCCCCCCAAAATAAAACCAAGATAGAGGCTGGTAATGAAGTTAAAGGTAGCAGATGGTAAAGCATCTTACTCTTTTTCACTTTTAGGCCTTCTATATCTGAAGAAGACCTTAAGATGTTGTTCTCAAGTAATGGGGGAATGGTCAAAGGATTCAAGTTCTTCCAGTAAGTAAACATATTAAAATTACTCCTTCAAATAACAGCCCAAAGAAAGCACAGTGGATGAGTACTGGACCTGGAGTTAATGAAGACCTGAATTCAGATCCAGTCTCAGATACTTAGTAGCTGGATGTTCCTGGGCAAGTCATCCTCATCCATAAAATGAGCAGAAGGAAAAGACAAACCATACTAGTATTTTTGCCTGGCAGACCCCAAATGGGGTCACAAAGAATTGACGTGATTGAAAACCACTAAACAACAAAAGCTTTCCTGAACTCTCTAATTGTTAGAATAAAAGCAAGCTATTAAGTGCTCGCCTGTCCCAGGTGCTGTTACACGTTCGTGAGGAGAATCTACTACTTTCCTAACATTTTTAAATGTAATGAGGCATTTGGGTTTTGTTTTGTCTTGGCAGAAAGGACCGGAAGATGGCTCTGATCCAGATGGGCTCAGTGGAAGAGGCCATTCAGTCCCTTATTGACCTTCATAACCATGACCTTGGAGAAAACCACCACCTTCGTGTGTCCTTCTCAAAGTCTACCATTTAAAATTTGGGAAGGCACAAGACAGAATGAACCTGACTGACGAGAACCCCAGGGTTTCAGCCTGGTCAGGCTGAGCACCTGGGATCACTTCCATCATTCCAGATTTAAAAAAGCCACTTTAAAAGCAGCTGAAGTGACCTTAAAAGACCAGAGATTTTATTTTTTTAAGTGAATCAGTTTACCTGTTTTTAAAAAAATTAAATCTAATTCACATTGTTAACCTTGCGGTGGTGGGATAACAATCTTGGTGACTGTACAAAAGCTACATGATGAAAAATCACAAGTTAAGTTTACGCTTTTTTGGAAATTGCTCTGGGAATTTTCTCCCCATCCCCTTAAAAGAATCCTAACAAATTTATCAGGTTTCACATTGATGCCTTTTAATTTTCTTTACCCAGTCAAGCCTTTAAAGACCCCAATCACTGTGTGATCACTCTGTCGCCTGAGAGTCAGGATCTTGCAAAGTATTGGATGGGTCCCCTAACCCATCCATTCCTGGGTTTTAGGATCATGCTCCTAATCCTGGATTCTGCTATCCTGTGCCTTAAACTTTTTTTTTCTTTTGGGAGAGTGGGGAAGCAGGGAACTACCATGATATATCAGCAGAAAGATAGGTTTTGAGCTTGGAGCATTGAAGGGGATGAGAAGCTCATTCTGCTCAGAGCAGATAAGTTGGCCAAGTGGATAAAGAAAATATTGGGCATTGTCTCATAATCTGCATAGTATCATGTATCTTTCCAGTGTGTCTCCATCAGCATTCTGTTTCCAGCAGAAGTCAGTGGGGTTGGTTAGAAACATTCAATTGACCAAGCAAATAGGTCTGAGCAAGTCAATTTCCCTTGTCATACATTTTTATTCCAGTGTTGACAGCAGTTGAGCCCCTGCCTTCTATGACTTGATCAAGCTTATTATACTTTCTTCATTGATTGAACCATTTTGAAGATGAATCAGCATGAATTTTCCCAAATTTGTAGGTGCATTTAATGATTCTTGGGATTTCTTTTGTAGGGTAAAGCCCGTAAGTTAGTGATATGTTAAGCTGAGGCATATTTATGCCTCCAGTTTGACCTTTATTGAGACCAAGTAGTTCCTACCATCGTCCCTGTTGCTTGTCTTCAGCATTTGTTTGAATCCTTGTATTATACTTTTGATGCAGTTTGCTGTCATCTGTGCCTAGCAATATTCCAGTTGACCAAATATTCTAATCTTTTTTTTTTCATTTATATGCAAAAGATAGTTTAAGTAACTTTTATAGAAGAGGATTAAAAATGGTATAAGTGTAATCTAAATTTACTCTTGTGGTATTACCCTTGTATACTGAGCTTTTATTTTATTCTTTGGTAATGAAGTGAAATTGTAGGGCAGGAATTTAGTTTTGATTTATCAAGCTGCGGTCATGGCTGTGAGGTTGATCAGTAAAGGGAAACTAATTGGATTGGAAGATAGATTGGGCTAAGTAGATGTAAATGTTCAAAGCAGCAAATAAAAGTGGCTTCTGAAGAGTTGGATTGAGTGAATGGACCCAGGCTAAAGTTCTCTCTTTCTTCTCTCTCTTTTTTAAACCCACCCCCTCAGATTCAGAACTTAGGGAAGAAACATCTGTAAATTCTGCAGCAGATGAGTACATCTAGTGGGCTGAGCCAACTTGTACTGTGTTCAGGTGGCCTTAGAGTATGGTCTTCGCTTCTCCCATACCATTCTGCCTTCTATTTTCACAAAATCCAATGTTGCCTTATATCTTTGTTTAACCTTTAACCTGTTTATCTACAAAACAGATCTCTTAAATACATTTTTCAGGGTTTTTTTCTGCAAATTGTGGACCAAAGTTTTTTTTTGTTTGTTTTTTAATTGCCTTTTAGTGCTGGTAGTCATGATATCCGAAAAACTCTTGGCTGGCCTGGCACTGAAGATCTGAAGTCTTAAACTTTTTTAGTTCTTCCCTGAACTCGTGTGGGTGTGAACTTGTGCTGGAGGGAAGGATGTGATAGCTGAGTGAGAGTTTGTCTTGGGTTGCTGGCATAAAATTTGGGTAGTGGTTTGTTTCCATCTTGCTGGTAGGAAGGAGTGGGGTATGAAATTTGCCATAATAGCTGTGATGTTTTATTGTGATAGCCTTGAAAAATTGTATTTTAATCCCCTGTGCTGGTTTAGCTCAAAGATTTGTCCCAGGAGCAACCAAGTCATCTTTAGGAACTGATTTTTGCAGGAATCTACATTTCAGTTTTGTATGTTTTTGTTATTCCTTGCCCCATCTCCCACCTCTTTAGCCCTCACCCCCTCATAACTACTTGGGATAAAGTCTCCTGCCTTCCTAGGAGGGAAAACTTGATTGGACTGTTTTTCCCAACCCTCCTCGCCCTACTCCCAAGGAATTTCATGTGAACCCAAGTGCACAACTCGGGCAAGCTCTCAGACCTCATTTGGCTTTACTTTAGGCTGTTTGTTGGAATTCAAGTGAGGAGGTTGGCCTTCATTGTTTTTTGGTTTTGTGTTGAAATAACTCACCCAGCAATGAGGCAGGTTTTTTTTTGTTTGTTTTGTTTTGTTTGCCAGATAGCAAGTGAATCTGTTGCAAGCCCAGCACCCAGGCGACTGCGGGTCTGTCTTTTGGATCCCTGTGTTTGCATGTAAAGAATGTGAGTAACAAAGGGTGTACATATTTATAATTTTTTATACCTGTTGTAAGACATGAGGGGGCAGCAAAACCCAGTTTTTTTTATGGTGAACAGATGTATTGTATATTTTGATAACAGCTATTCCAGGTTCAGTATTGTGAAAGTGGGGGGGGTGACCACAAACAAATTCCATTGCCTGTTTCAGAGAATGTTTGTAATGCGAAAAGAATTGAATTAAAACTATTTTATAACAAACTTTGTACCTTCCTGTAGCTCTATTATTTACTGTTGGGATTGTAGAAAGCAGTTATTGGCCAGTCTGTACTTTGTGGTTCAATAAATTTCTTCCATATTCTTTGCTTCTGATTTTCCTATCTTTTTATTGTGCCTGTTTTTGTTTTGTTTGCTGCTGTTCTTCCTCTTAAATGTAAATCCAGCTGCCTCCCATTTAGTTTAGTGGATTTTTTAGAAACTGTTTTCTGACATTACAGTTTTATGGTCAAAGGGAACAGTGCACATATTAGTAACTTTATTCCTTTCTTTTCTACTGAGCCTCTGATTCTGCCTGAGTGCCACCAGCTTTGCAGCACCCTCACGTGACAAATCAGGCTCGGAGTCATGAAATAAGAGAGTAGATTTGTAACTGACCTGTCCGTCTAATACCTCTCAGGCTTCCTGATATGTATGTCTTAAAAGTGTTTAAAAATAAGCTCACACATTAGCAGCGCTGTATGGTTTGGAAGAAAGGATTCTGGACCCGACACCAGGCGACCAGCCTGGCTTGGGTACTGGTGTTCCACACTGTTTCTGACATTCAGTGATTCTGTCTTCAGAGTCCCATCCCTTCCCTTCCGTGTCTGGAATGAACCTTCCTAAGAAAGATAGTTATGCTGTTTATTTTTTTGTTCTGGAGCTTCCTAGTAGAGATATTAGTGTTATTGGAGGGTTGGGTTTTTTTTAATAGAAATTTTCAAGTGCAATGTGTGTAATTTTTTTTCAAAAGTGGGGAAAAAAGCAGTATTCTCTGCTAGAAATGTTACCTCTTTTTTCACATCAGTTCTTGGTCTCTTCTATGCTTTTCTAGCACCTCAAGTAAGTCCATCCAAAACTCCAGTGTCTTCATGCTTTTTACATGCTTCAGTGGGCCCTGACTTTGCATTCATTTCTTTGATGGTGTTTGGCAAAGCTCTCCTTACTTTGGACATTCCCATGTTATTGGTTCCCTCAGATCTTGATGTTGCTCTATTTGAGTATCAGATGAGAACTTTTCAGTACGGGGGGGGTGTCTATAAAATGAGAGCTTTGAACTAGATTAGGCTTCTTTGGTCCCTTCTATCTCTAAGCTCTAAATCTGGTTCTAAATGAGAGCTTTCATTCTGTTTTAAAAGAAAGGTGCCTGACGAACAAAAGCCATAAATTTCAGCCATAGGCTGAAGCTCAGGAATGTACCATCAGAGACTAGTATAGAATCCCAGCTGAAAAAGAAGAAAGAATTCTGAGGCCATCTGATGTCCATCACGGACATGAGTGAGTTGGAATACCTCCTCTACAACATTGAGTGATGGTCTGTTGAGAAGAGATAGCAATTTCTCTGAGCCGGAATGGCTAAGACACCTGAGCCAGACCTTAAAACCTGGCAAGATGGTAGGTGGTACTTTCATAGCCAGTAGGTCAATTAGACCTAGAACTCATCCCTTTAGAAAGGAGCTTTTTAACTGGAGACTATTTCATGTTGCTTCTGTAGCTCCAAATGAGTGTGTTCATGGGCCCTATCCGTGATGCCATTTTGTTCTTAGGGATTGCCTTAGGTGAACAAGCAGTAGTAATACCTACAGGGGACATTTGCTCCAGACTTAAGGCCCCTCCTTGCCCTTTATTTCCTTATGCTGTCAGCATTGCTTTGTCCTAGCCTCTACAGAAGTCCCTGGTGCTAACATTTTGTCCTGAAAAAGAGGGAGTGGTGAGAGTCAGTAGGAGAAGAAAAATGAATAGGCCTAGCTAGATTTCCCCCAGGTTTTTCCCAGTCTCCATTCTTTTGATGGATTCTCCTTGCTCTTCCCACATCATTGAATTCCAGCTATGGAATGACATCTTTTTCTCTCTTTTTTTTTTTTTTGGCAGTTGGGGTTAAGTGACTTGCCCAGGGTCACACAGTAAGTGTCAGGTGTTTGGTCTGAGGCTGGATTTGAACTCAGGTCTTCCTGACTTCAGGGCCGGTACTCTATCCACTGTGCCCCCATCTTTTTCCTATATAGTCATGCCCAGTTGGGTAACACTCCCCTTCTCTCCGCCCCCCCATTCCCTCCCACCAAGCCCAATAACAGCCAGAGTGAGGGCCTTTCCATCAACCTTAGATTCTGGCTGCTAACATGGAAGGAAGAATCTTCATTGATTTCACATGCTACGTAAGTCGGTACTTACAAAATATATTCACTTGTCTGATGTCACACACATAGCAAAATCCACCAGCAGTGGTTGAATTTGCTTGGCTAGCATAATTGAGTAGTGGTCTTAAAGAAGGAGAACTTCACAAGACTGCGTAAGTTAAAGGTGGAAACTGGGGTCTCTTTGTAGTGGGAAGACAAGATTGCAGCAGGTTGCTAAACACAACAGTGGGTTGGAAGTGTAAAATACTATGGGGTGTAAGAGTCAGGGAAAGCCTTTAGAGAGATGTACAGTTGGCATGGACTTAAAGGTGGTGGTGGGGAAGATTCCAACAGGTCAAAGGAAGAATTTGTAAGCAGGTGCATTGGTAAAGGTGGTACTAAGTTTAGAAAGCTAAGGTTCAATTCCCAGTTACTTGTGTCACTCAAACTATCTATGCAACTCTACATGTCAGTTAATTTCGTTAAATTCTAAAGCATGATGGGGAACCCTGTAGTGGGTGATATGAATACTGGGATAAAGGGAAGGGGCTAGTTTGTAAAGGAGTATATGTAAAGTCAGTTAATGGAGTCCCCTGTAGTCTATTCAGTAGGGGTAATAAGGTCCTACATGATTCTGGAAAATCAGCAGTTGTTGAAACAAGAGGTTGGGATACCAATTAAAAGATTATTGTAATAAACCAGGTTTCTTAGGACTTGCAATCTGGAGGTCTCTAAGCAGAGGTGGAAAGGGCAGTGTGTGTTTGGAGGGGGTGTTGGCTGGGGATACACCTTTGCTAGAGAACAAGGAAGCAAATGAGCATTTATGAAGTGCCTACTGTGTGCCAGGCCTTTAAGCTCAAAGCAAAAATGAAGCCAGTATGGAACTGAACAAAGATTGTGCATCTATTCTGTGCATAGTTATGTGCTTGGTGCTGGGCATTCAAAGACTAAAGGAACAGTGATCCCTTTCCTCAAATCACAGGTTCTCTCCAGTTCAGCTGGGAGAAATAAAAGTAGATCAGATGGGATTTGGATTTGGTTAACAAAAAAGGGAGTTACTAGAACACTGAACTAATAAATAAGACTAAGCTGGTTTTATGGGGGAAAAAAATAAGCTAAACCTTTGGTTTTCTTTTTTTTTAATTAGCCAAATTACCAGTATCAAAAACGAAAAGGGTGAATCTGCCACCAAGGAAGAGGAAGTTAATGATTAGGAGCTATTTTGCCCAACTGTGTGCCAATGAATTTGACGATCTTAGTGAAATGGATGAATGTTTACAAAAATATAAGTTGCATTAATAGAAGAGGAAATAAAATACTTAACCTCATAGACTATTTTGGAAAGCAGGTGGAGTCGTGCCAGATCAGATTCTTTTTATGATACAAATAGGGTGCTGATACCTAAACCAGGAAGAGTCAAAACAAAAAATTACAGACTAATTTCCCTACTTGAATATAGATGCAAAAATTAAAAAAAAGTATTAGCAAATAGATGACAGTAACTTATCACAAGAATAATGCACCATGACCGAGTAGGGTTTATACCAGGAATTCAGGGCTGGTTCAATGTTAGGAAAACTTATCAGCATAATTGATTATAACAGAACTAACAAGCCACGTGATCATCTCATTAGATGCAGAAAAGGCTTTTGACAAAATACAATACCCATTCCTATTAAACACGAGAAAGCATAGGAATAAGTGGAGTCCTTAATAAGTAGCATCTGCCTGAAACTTTCAGCAAGCATCATATGTAATGGGGGTAAGCTAGAAGCATTTCCAGTAGGATCAGGAAGGGGGATGTGAAACAAGGATATCCATTGATCACTGTTCAATATCTAACTAGAAATGTTAGCTTTAGCAATAAGAGAAGAAAAAGAAATTGAAGGTATTAGAATAGGCAAAGAAGAAAAAGTTTTGCAGATACGATATACTTAGAAAAGCCTAGAGAATAAAGTGAAAAACTAGTTGAAATAGCTTTAGCAAAGTTCCAGGCTTTAAATAAACCCACATAAGTCATTGGCATTCTATATATTACCAACAAAGCCCAATAGCCATGAGAGAAATTACATTTAGTTACAGTAGGCATAAAATATTAGGAGTCTACCTACTGAAACAAACCCAGGAACTACATGAGTGCAATTACAAAACACTACACACAAATAAAGTCATATCTAAATAATTGGAAAAACATCCATGGGTAGGCCAAGCTATTAAAATAAAAATGACAATTCTGCCTAAGCTAATTTACTTAATGCCATATCAAACTACCAAAAATTATTTTATAGAGCTAGAAATAATGAAATTCATTTGGAATAACAAAAGGTCTAGAATATCAAGGGAACTAATGAAAAGAAATGCAGGGGAAGGTGGTCTAGCAGTTCCAGATCTTAAATTGTATTATAAAGCAGCAGTCATCAAAACTACTTGGTACTGGCTAAGAAATAGTGGTGGATCAGTGGAATAGGTTGGGTATGCAAGACACAGTAGTCAATGACTATAGTAATCTATTATTTGCTAAACGCAAAGACCCCAACTTCTGGGATAAGAACTCACTATTTGACAAACACGGCTGGGAAAACTGGAAAAGAGTATGGCAGAAACTAGGCATAGACCAAAATCTCACACCATATACCAAAAGAAAGTCAAAATGGGTTCGTGATTTGATGTAAAGGCTGATACTGTAAGTAAACTGGGAGAGCAAGGAATAGTTTACCTCTCAGATTTATGGAGAACAGAATTCATGACCAAACAGGAGATAGAGAACATTATGAAATGCAAAACGGATAATTTTGATTACATTAAATTGAAAAGTTTTTGCAAAAAGCTAATGTGATCAAGATTAGGAGGGAAGCACAAAACTGGAAAAGAGTTTTTATAACCAGTGTCTCTGATAAGGGCCTCATTTCTAAAATATATAGAGAACTAAGTTAAATTGATAAGAATACAAGTCATTCCTCCATAAATCATCAAGGGATATAAACAGGCAGTTC